GGCCGAAGCGGGGGCAGGGTGGGTGGGCGCCGACCCCGGGCCGGGAAGCCGCGCTCACGCCTTCCCCACCCCAACACTCCGCCCGGGCCGCCGGCGGGAAGACGCTTCGGCGGCCGCGGCGACAGTTACGAGGACCGGCGCGCGCCCGGCTCCGGGGTGCAAGCGGGGGCAGCACAGGCAAAGTCGGAGGGGGAACCCTGCCGCCCCGGGGCTCCTCGGCCGGGAGGAGCGGGTCCGGGGAGGGCAGAGCAGAAGCGGAGCAAGGACAGAAGAAAGCGGTGCAAGAAAAGACTGCCGGACCCAGAGGCGAGACCCAGAGCGCGCGGGGCTTGGGACCAGCCACCAGCTCGGGCCGCCGCCACCGTCCTGCCCCTCCCCTCCCCCGGAGCCTGACTTCACTCCGCCGCCGGCGCGAGCCCGGCGTAATTCACACTTTGCAGCCGCGGACCGTGCGCCAACCACGGCCGCCGCCACCGTGACGTCACGACGCCGCGCCGCAGGCCCCGCGCCTCCGCAGCGCCTAGGGAGACGGACAAGCGGCGGGGTGCCAGGGGGGTGGCGGCAACCGCCTTCCTCCACTTCTGCACAGTAAGCTCGGTCACTGTCCTCTCCAGCCACACGCCGCCCTGCCTCCGCCCCCTCCAAAATCAACTCGCAACTCCCCCAGCTCTCCCCTATCTGCCCTCCACCCAAGGCGCGTGCGCACGAGGCCCCACCGTTTGGGGACATTCCCCTTATCGCTAAACTCTTGCTTTCGAGCGCGCTGAGGCTGTGAAGTGGGCTCAGCCTGCGCTACAAGCGATATTTGGCCCTTCTGACTCCAGAAACCCAGAGCACGCGGCGCACTCGCAGCGTTCAGCCTTAACCGCGGGGTCACCGCTGTGCTTCCCTCCTCGATTTCCCATTCTTGGACTTAGCTGGGGACCGCTGCGGCAGTGACGTCAGCGGACCGCGCGGACCCCGTCCTCCCTGCTACGTCACTGCCAGTCCTTTGGCAGGGCCCGGCTGGGGCTCTCCTCAGGCAGGTGCGGGGCCCCAGGGCTGTCCCGGGCCGAGGCGAGGAGAGAGGAGCCGAGAATGCTGGAGTGAGGAGGGGGTGAGAGGGTGGAGGGGAAACACTGAGACAGAAAGAAGTGAGAGTATGCCCTGGAAAAAATGAGAAAGGATGATACTGAGAAGACAAAGGAAAAAAGAAGCCTGCATGACCTTTTACCAAACGTGTTTTTTTTTGTTGGCTTTGATTTTTAGAAAGCAGAGGAGAGAGCTTTTGACCTGGTCTGTAAGCTGAATATGTCATTTGCAGGTTCATTTTGTCACATTTTCCCCCAAACTATCAAAGCTTTTCAGTTGCAACCCATTGTTTCAAAGGCATTCCAGCCCCCAGGACGTCAGCCTGAACAAGCTCTTTCCTGCTGGCAAAATTGTTGATTCGGCTCTGCTCTCAGGGTATCCATCCTTCCACTTATTTGCTATGACTAGCCATTGAAAAGGTGGTAGATCTTTGAAAGTACTGCATAGCCATTACTGATGACGTCAGGTATGAAATGCTCATGATTCCATAAGTCAACTCTGCAAGACCTCTTATCATCTTTACAGGACATCTGTTTCTTTTACATCACTTAAAACGTTCTGCCTCTTCCATGGTTGTCTATTTGTCTGTTCTCTACTATTAAAAGAAATATAACTTCCACTGTGGTTTCATGAATGTTGTCTTCACTAGATGGTAAGCTCTCTAAATGCAACAACTGACCCACTCACTTTGAAACCCTAATTACTCCCACAACATCTAGTAGATACAGTGAGCATCTGCTGTATGCTTGGGATTAAGCTAAACACTCTCACTCAAAAAAACCCATGAGATAATAGTATCTAAACTGAAACTGGGCTTAGGGAAACATAACTTGCCCTAGATCTTACACAGATAAATGGCAGAACTAACAAAATAATGTTTGAATTCTCTGTACATTTAAGCACCCAGAAGGTGGTATTGGTATTACATCAAACAGTATATGCTTCAAATAACTGTATCACATTTAATAACATCTAAGAGACTCAGTTCCATTAAATCATTTGATAAGACTCAGGGCACTAACTAAACAATGCATCTCTCTTTAGCAGAGAGGGGAGCTAGCATTTACCATACACCCACTGTGAGCCATGACAGGTATTCTACATATAACATTTAATTTAACCCCACACAATAGCCACATATGTAAAATTTGATACCAGTTCTACAGATGAGGAATCAGTTTCCAAGACCATAAGTCATCTGTGCCACTGAACTCTGTTCTGTGTGATTTCAGAACCATGCATTTCCACCATACCATGTAGTATCTCAAGACCAGAATGTCAACTGTTCTCAGTGTTTTTTACTATACTGGGAAGCATATCAGTCAGGGTTATCCAGAAACACAGAAGCAATAGGAGATTAGAGAGAGAGAGAGAGAAAATTTCTGTACATGTATCTTGTCCAAGACACAGAGAAGCTAGAGGAACTGCAGGCCCCCTGCTGCCCCCTGGCCAGTAAGGTGAGTCAGCAAGTCATGTGCAAAACTGCAGCAGTGCTTGGGACCCTGCATGGATCTACCAAGTGTAATGGCTGGTGCTTCACGTCCACTTCTCAAATCTTTTGCGAATTTCTGTTGTGGCCAACCAAAACCCTAAAAAGAAGAGAATTCTGGGAATGTAGTTCCAACTTAGCTAAGCTGCTAGTGCAAACTAACCCAGTCTGAACTCTTATCAACTTGACATCCCTACACACTTCTTTTAATCACATTTAATTTTCAAATAAAGACCATAGTAAAATCATGTGTATGTCCATATGATGCAACTAGCTCTCATACAACCCAAAACAGCTCCCTCCCTTCCCAAAAGAGCGTAGAATCTTTGAATGACGTTCATCCCTCTTCTTGATGAGTCGTATTACCCCTTTGATATCCTGTAACTTAAATACAAGAGATAAAGTAACCCACTATTAACACATCCTAGGGGAATGAGAGAGAGGGGGGAAAAAGAAAATAATTGGTTAAATATACACAAATATATTCATATCAAAATGAGGGAAAATGCTCACAACTATTATAGACCTTATATCTGCAACTGGCAACATAATCATAATTACTATTTTCTTTTTTCCCCATTACCTTTTTAAATATCCCTTTGCCTTCAGCAAGCGTCTCAGCCAATAATAGTTCCTTTATTTATGGGGCAACCCAAATTTTTATTCCTGAAATATCTAGACCGTTAGAGGTTCTACTTCTATTGGGTTGTTGTGCTTTTCCATTAACTCATATTACAGAGTATGGGAATACTAAGAGGTACCCCTAAAGAATCTCCTGCATTCCAGGTACATTCCCATGTAGTAGCAATTAAAGATCAGTTTAACAGGATCAATCAGTCCAGGCAGTAGAGTAACACTCTTCTTTACATGTTGGTTAAATAGCACGAGGATCCCTAAATGGCTAAGTGGCAATCCCAATTTACAGATTGAGCTCTTGCTGTGTACCCTGGTGGAACCACTCTTCTTTGGGAAATAAGACCTCTGGACAAGCAGAACCCAACTTTGCAGGAATTGAAGCAAAATTTTGCATGTGATTCACTAGGGGTAAAAGTGAGAGGATCCACTTCCACTCCCACCCCTTGATTCCTGAACCATGGATATATTTTTTTTCCTAATTTTCTTTTTTTAAATTAATTAATTAATTAATTAATTATTTTTGATGTAGTGTTCCATGATTCATTGTTTGCTTATGACACCCAGGGCTCCATTCAATACATGTCCCCTTTAATACCCATCACCAGGCTAACCCATCCCCCCACACCCCTCCCCTCTAGAACCCTCAGTTTGTTTCTCAGAGTCCATAGTCTCTCATGGTTTGTCTCCCCCTCCAATTTCCCCCCTTGATTTTGCCATTTTTACTATCTTCTTCTTTTTTTTTAACATATAATGTATTATTTGTTTCAGAGGTACAGGTCTGTGATTCATCAGACTTACACAGTTCACAGTGGTCACCATTGCACATACACTCCCCAACATCTATCATCCAGCCACCCCATCCCTCCCACACCCCACCACTCCAGCAACCCTCAGTTTGTTTCCTGAGATTAAGAATTCCTCATATCAGTGAGG